AGAATAGGAAAGACAAAGAGGGAAGATTTACATTGGCAGGCACTTCCAAGCTGTGGGAATTAAAACCACATTGGCCTGATGCAAGGATGGCAGAGGGGCTGACATCACCAATGGGTGCATGGAAAGAGACACAGGTACAGGAATTCAGTTCTTACTAAGAGGTGTTAAGTGGGGCCAACTGAACATCCTGAAAGAATCCCTGAATCCTAACCACCGTGTCACACCACATACAGCTCAGTTCTGCTAGAATGGAAATCCACATGTGTTGCAAGGTGACAAAAAGAATATAGTCAAGACTTTGAAGAAGGGAAAGACTTTTTAAACACAACACAGAAACATACAAAGGACAATGAGGACTTCTGTGCTTTAAAAGACATCAGTATGAGTGAAAACGTGAAGCCCAGAGGGGAAGAAAAGATTAAGTTCACACACTACTGACAAAGGACTTGATTCCAGATCACAGAAAGAACATCTCCACATCAAGAAAAAGTCAGACAACTCATCAGAAAAACGTGCAAAAGACCTGAACACACACTTCACATGAAGGGGGCCACCCACTCAGCCAATAGCATGTGAAATGATAGCTGCAGATACCAGAAAATTTCACTCCCCAGAGGAACTGAAGTAACTGGCTAGGGAGGCCAGGAGAGCAGGAACTCTCTTGCATGGCTGGTAGGAGCATGAAATGCTAGAACTACACTGAGAACTTCGAGGCACCAGGTATGTATGTTAAAGACAGGCGTGCCCTAAGGTGTAGCAATCCCTAGGCTGGGCCCTGGCTGCTGTGCCCAGTGGAGGTTACCTGGGTGTGAGTATTCCTGATAATTCCTTAGGGATTCCCTATGCCCTGAGGAGTATCTACATCTCTCTGTGTGTATCACACACCAATAAAAAGATTTTAAAACAATTTCAAATAACAGACTTTACAAGAATGCCATAAGCATACACATCGTATGCTGTGGTACAGATGGAGATTAAAATTCAAACAAAAGCTTGTTAAAATGATTTGTAAAAATGGTTAGCCATTTACAGTATTTGCAGATAAAGGATTTTGAGGTTTAACTGCATGAGGTGGATATTAGGCACATAGAAGCCCCCATAGGGGAAAAGCTCTCCCACGTCATTTGCCGCTGCTGGACCAGAAAGTGAGTGTGACAGCAAGTGTGGCAGCTGAAGACGGTGGCTCTCTAACTGGCATGGCCATGCATCCTATAGAGATGCAAGAGTAACATGCTGGCTCACAATGCTGGATTTGGAATTATGTGCTGAGCATATACAGAAGACTTAGGACTTCACCCTAGTCACTCCTCCCTCAGACCTTCTCATCTTGGTCAGACCATTTAGCAACTCCATTGTCTAACGGCTCAGCCTACAAGACTGGCAAATCCTGGAGGATTGGAAGGGCTCCCCCTTCCAAAGACATCTATAGCCTGACAGATCTCACCCTTCCCTGCTCAGCAACATGGGTGCCATCACCTCTCCTAAGCCCCACTGTAACCTGCCCCTCCAACATGATCGCCAGGATGGGCAGCCCTTGAGAAGTGACACTCTGACCCATTGACCCCTTCACCCTAGGCTCTACTCTATCCAGAAGGAAGAGCTCAGCTTCTGCGGTGTCACCAGGACCCACTTCCAGTCCCAGTTCTGTGGAAAGGGCCATGTGTTTCTCCCTAAGGCTCCTTGTCCCTTCTGAGGGGAGGGCTCCTCCCACTCCTTCTGTCCCTGCTTATAGGGAGCAAGCTGTACTGGGTGAAAAATGAACAGATGCAAACACCTAAGAAAACACTGGCTTTATCTGGTGGGATAGCCTTTGGATAAGTCAACTAGCTAGGCCCAGCAACCAGTTAGTCAAAGGCCAATTCAGGTGCTACACTGAGGGTTTTTTTTTAACATGTGAGGAAAGCACAGATTAGACTTTACTTAAGGTCATCTGGATGGCCTTGACTCTGCCAGATGAAAGGCCTGCAGCAGACTGGCTGAGGCTTCCCACACCTACGCCTAAGAGTTCCAACCTGGCCATCTACAGGCCTATCCAGGTGAAGGCCCATCCACTTGAAGGCTGACTATCTGAAGGTCTGTCTGCCTAAAGACCCATTCAGACAAAGGTTCATCTACACGAAAGGCTCAACCACCTCAAGGCCTGACAACCTAAAGGCTCATCCACCTGATCACCTAAAGGCCCAACCATCTAAAAGCCCTGTTCATCTGAAGGCCTAGCCACCTAAAGACATGACCCACCTGAACGCATGTCCAACCAAAGGCCTGACCTCCTGACAGTCCATCTGAAGGCCTATCTACTTGAAGCATGAACATCTGAAGGTATGACCACCACAAGGCCTAAAGGCCTGAAAACCCTAACCACCTGAAGGTCTAACACCTGAAGCCCCATCCTCTTGAAGGCCTGATCACCTGAAGGCCTATTCATCTGAAAACTCATCCACCTGAAGGCCCAACCATGTGAAGGCTGATCACCTAAAAACCTATCTACCTGAAGGCCTGTACCCCTAAAGGCCCATCCATCTAAAGGTCTGCTCTACAGACCGTCATGTGCCTGGTGAGCTCCACAATCATAGAAGTCAAGTCCTCACCCTGCATCTTATAGAATCTATTCCCTACTGGTTCTGCTTCTGTGACAACCTGTAGAACAAGTAGTCTGCATGTCCTGTGGCCCACTCTGCCACTGAGAAAGGCATGCCAAAGAGACACCTGGCGTGGCACAGCAGTACTCTTGCTAATAGCAAATGCTGGGAACATGTCAAATGGAGACCATGACGAACATAGAACACTCACCAGTAGATGCTACCTAGCTGTGAAAATAAATGAATGACATCATACCCATCCCTATCATAATATAGGAGTCAGAAACAAGGGAAATAAAGCACAAGCTGCAAAGAAGAACCATTTTGTGATCCCATTAACATAATGCTAAAATACATACACAGGATGAAAAGTACATCATTTATGGATGCAAAAATGATAAAATTATAATGAAAACTAGGGAGAAATACACATGCATGTGCCACTCTAACACCTTGTGAAGCTAGTTGGGGGAGGAGCTGGGACCAAGTGGTTTCTGTAAAAGCTTTACAAGAAACCCAAATATCTTTTTCTCTGAACTGTCAGATACCTCTGGATTTTGTTTTATGCTTTATATAACGTTTTATATTCTTTTATACGTGTTCAATTCTAAGAATTTTAAATGGTGAAATTTTCAAAAAGTTTTAAGAATAAGTTGAAAATATTTTTCCTAAGAAATACTCAAGAGTCACAGGTAGCTACCAAATACATTGTCAGTCAACTGCACAGAATTTGAGGAACTATATAAATTTGCACATCCCTGTCACGTACCAATGGTAGAAGGACCTCCACTCTGTAGGTGACAGTGACATAAACATAACCCCAACCTCTTTGTCAGGGGCTACTTTGTGCACTGAAGCCCAGAGTCTAGCAGAAACTTGCAGATCAGGAAGAGGTGAGTAACAAGGCCCAGCTCCCTCCCTCTTTGATGGAGGGGGTGTAAAGACTTCTGCTTTCTTAGAGGCAATCCTGTCACCCAAGGCAAATGCGTACCTTCAATCAGGAGAACCACGGAAAACAAATTTGGTTGAGCCGTGGTATCCTGGGTGGAGAACACAGAGTCTTGGGTGAAAAGTCCATCACTCTGGGGACAGGTCCTAAGTATGTCCTTTAAAACAACAGTTGCCAGTGAAAAAGACACACATACACTCTGGGAGAGAGGCTCAGAGTAAATCAGCATGTGGGTAGATAGGACACCAGGACTCAAGGAGCCTTGTCATGCTGAACACTATCCTTAAATGCTCCAGCCCAAAAGGCTTTAGGTCCCGTGGCTGAGCACTCAGTGACAATGGCATGGTGACCCTCTCCTTGTGACAAGGCCCTCTAACCTTCCAAAGGTAGAAGACAACAAACAGAATGGCCTCCTGGCTAGTGTCAAGTGCAGGCATTCTGTAGAAGGAGGCTGACCATGCTTATCTTCAACATAAACAGGTACAACCACCACAGAGAGCAAGACCAAGTGAAAAGAGCAAGTGTGAAAGCAAGCCACTTGGCCACAGAAGCTGTGTCTCCTCAGCTGCGAGTTCACCTACAAACTCACACAGGCACTTAGAAGATGCTCTTGAAAGAAAAGTACTTTGAAAAACATACCACAGACCTCACAGATGAAATGCAGAATGCACCTAGCGTGCTTTGTGGTTTTTAATCTTCTGTAAGTCTATGAGGAATAACCCTTAAAATGATAGAAATCAACTCAAAGGTGTACCAGTGCCCCTTAAGGAATAACCCTTAAAATGATAGAAATCAACTCAAAGGTGTACTAGTGCCCCTTAAGGAATAACCCTTAAAATGACAGAAATCAACTCAAAGGTGCACCAGTGCCCCTTAAGGAATAACCCTTAAAATGACAGAAATCAACTCAAAGGTGCACCAGTGCCCCTTAAGGAGGGGTTAATGTGGATTCTTCCTGAGGCTTCAGGTGAAGACAAAACCAGGTACTCTGTCTGATTCAACTCTGCGGCTAATGGTTGTGACTCCAGAGTCAGGAAGAGGTACACTGACATGCTCCTACAAGGACTGATGGGTCCCCCTCCAGAGATGCTTCTCAGGAACCCAGAACAAGTGACTAGGGAAGTGTAGCTAAGGTGAGGCCCGCAGCCCTGTAGCACTCACTCTCACTGCGCTCCTGCCCACCCCCCTTGCTCTCCACTGGCCTTGCTGTAATCACACCCTCTGCCCTCCTCCGTGCACTCTCTTTGCCCTGCTGGCTTCTCCTCATGCTCCCCTAGTCCCACACTGTCTTTGCCCTCCTGCCCTCCACTGCCTCCCCCAGGCCCACGGTGTACTTGCCCCCTCTGCCCTCCCTAGCCTTCTCCTTTCCACCTTCCCCTGGAACGCTTGCTCCCTTTCCTTTTTCCTAGTGACAATCAGTCCTGTGATTGCTCCCTCTGCCCTCCCTTGCCCTCCCCTGGCCCCACACTCACTCTCTTTGCCCTTCTCCTTGTTCTTGAGCTGCTGTAGCTTCTGCTCACGGTGCTGCTTCTCCAGCTCCTGCTCCTGGCGGTGCCGCTCCAGTTTGCGCTGGTGCTCTAGCAGCTCCTGCTGGTGCTTCATGGCCAGCATCTCCTGCTGCTGCTGTGGGTGAAGGACAGATGTCAGAGCCTTGGGAGATCCATGACACCCTGTAGCCAGTGGACCTGCCATCTGCCCTGCAGCCTCTGTGGGCACCACTCTGTATACATAGCCCATACACCTAACTAACGTGGCCACAGATGAAGAAAGGCTACTGAAACCAACACATTCTCTCTTTAAGTGGGTAGATGAATATGAACACTGTTGGACTGCTGCTAGAAAACACTCAGGAAGAGTAGGCAACCCTGTGAGTTGGGATGCCACTTTAAGAATGTGCTAAAGAGTGTGAAATGGTATAGCTAGTTTGGAAAGCTGCTGAGCACTTTCTTAGGACATGGAACACAGTTGCCATAAGATCTAGCAATTCATCCCAGGACTCATTAAGCAGTGTGGAAGCACATCCACCAAGGGTCTATACAGTAGCATGTACACACTTCACATACCACCCCACCTGGACACAGTTCAAGCTCTCAAGGTGACCACAGAGATAACTGTGTGATTTACACGAGGCAATACTGCTCAGCCAAAACACACCAACTACCAGCACACAAAACCACAGGGATGATTCACTGAACAAGCAAAGTCGACAGGGCCAAGGTTGGCACAAGGATGCATTGGGAAGTGGGGAAAGAAGCTGATATTGAGAGCTCCTATACATACATCAAGTACTAGAACAGGAATAGCTACAGTGTGACCACAAAGATCAGAAGAAAGGGGACTCAGGCAGAGAAAATGCATGAACTATCTACCACCACGTGGAGGGAGGGAGGTTCCCAGGGCAGTTCACAGTTGTCAAAAAGCACTCAACAGCATACCTATGAGCTGGGCATCTTATTGTGTACAAGTGAGAACTCCTATTCTAAAACACATTTGATGACATGGAATTTTAAAATTGCCTTTATAATAAATAAATAAAATTAATAGAAATATAAATAAGAAATACAACAGCATCTATGACACACATATAAACTACATAGAAATGGTTGCCATCAATTAATAAGGATATAACAAGCAGCCTACTAAAAAGGTGAGCAAAAAAGAACAAGGGATTCTAGAAATGGTCAAAAATAAATAGGAAAAACATTCAGCCTCACTAGTAACCAAACCCTGTGTTGACTACTGTGTTGGAGGAGGTCAGCAAGAGTAGCCCTGCCCAGTCACTGCCTCCAATCTCAGTAAATGCCCTCCCCAGGGCCTCTCTCAGCCCAGCAGAACCCTCAGCATCTCCACCTCTGCTCTTTACTGACCCAACACACAATGCACTGGGAATGACCTGTGGTGGCTTTGTGGCCCTGCTTCCTCATGGAAGGGAGAAGGGTGGGCAAGGATCAGTGACCAGGCAACTGGCAATCAGGTGGCCCACAGAACTTTGTATGGCAAAAATCTAATGCACAAGCATTATCCTTCACTGTTAAGTGCTCAGTTTCTAAGGACAAGGACAGATGAAAACATCCTTTTGGCCATTCACAGACAGACTACAGTGCCGATCAAAACACAGAGGGCAGTGATAATAGTAGCTAATATGTACTGAAGGCCCATCAGAGTGCTTTATACTTAAGAGTTGAATCCTCACAATGACTTAGGAGGAGCTTTACAAAGGAGGAAACCAAGGCACAAAAGGACAAAAGTGTCTGGTGACTGAGGGTTTCAGCCCAGGCAGGCTGGCTCCAGAGCAGAGCTTTCACCAATGGCCCTTCCGGCTCAGGCAATGAAGACAAGCATGTGCACATGTGTCCAAGTGTATTGTACATTTATGTCTGCAATCTAAGTGTGTTGTGCCTGTAAGTATGTACGCACATGAAAGTGCTATGCACCATGAGATAGTTGCAGAGCTACCTGCAGGAGAGCAATGTTGTGGCCCTCCAACTTATGCATGCTAAGTGAAGATGGGATGGAGTTTCTATACCAATCCAGCTTGGAGAGGCCCCAAGCAGACTCCTAGGCCATAATACTTTCCACAGACAGTTTGGGGCCAAAGTCAGACCCATTCCATAAGTCAGAGGCCCCTCAAGTACTGCCTCATCAGGCAAACTTGGCCTAGGTCCTCACAACCTGCCAGGTCAGCCTCCCCAGCCTTGTTGCCCCATTGCTATGGAAGTGGCATTATGCCATAGCCCCTGCACGACTCACTGTGTAAGAAAAATGATCTTGTCTATCAAAGTATTTGTTACCCTCTAAGATTATTTAAAAATTCCTCAGGTCACCATCTTAGGGGACTTGCATGTTTAAAGGGTACTTGCTTCTTTTTCTGGATTCCTGTACTACTCCATTGCCTGCCAAACTGTATGCCCTAACCCATCCCCCAAGCCTTTTTAGTCAATCAAGGGAGATTGTGAACCTTTGACCTGGACAAATCCTGGCTTAGGGGCAGGTACAACTACATCAGAGATACAAGGAGGAGCCACAGTTGGCCATTTTGTGCTCAGGTGTCTGCTCAGCTGCAGTATGTACATGCTTGTACCCTTTTGAGCAAAAGAAATTGCCTTAAGACTTTCTGTCTCTTGTGTGTCTGTTTTTGGCAGCGGAGGGTCTTTAATTCCAACAATTTGGGGCTCGTCCGGGATTTTACATTCTGTCCAGGAAGAGGGCCCCCTCGTCCCTTCTCCTGGAAGACGTGTCCTGCCGCCTTGTTGCAGCAGCCCCAAGGTTGGGCCAAGGGCAACAACTTTCCGGATCTGCAAATGAACTTGAACTCCAAAATTTCTTGACAATGTGGGTAAAAGAGCTCTGAAGACAGGGACCACAATGACCACATAAGTTTTGTGCCCAAACCAAGACAAGAAATGTCACAGGGGTGATCATGTCTTGGTGGTTAGGATACTGGAGGCTGTGTGATGTGTGAATGAGACATGTCATGACACGAAGGGAAAGTGGAGTCCTGATCTGCAGTTCTGAGGTGACCTCACACTGTTTAAGGTGAAATTAGATTCTTCAGTCTAATCCAGGTCAGCAGCTTACACTGATCTGCCAGTTACCAAGAGGTGCCTCAAGCTCCCATGAGGGATACGGCTGGAGACAGACAAAGCAAAAGAGAATTAGAGTGCAAGAAACCTCCAAGGCAAAGGCGGGGTGGGGGAGAGAGGGAGGGTTGAGATCCTGATAGAGTGCAGTCAACCTGAATTATTTCCCAGAAATGGGAAATACAGGCAGCAAAGAGGACGGACGGAAAACAAAGGACCAGGATAAAATACCCTCTGAGCACCCCCTAGGGAAGATGTCAAAATATTGGGGCGATAGCCCTTGTACTAAAGGGAAAAAGAAACAAAGAATGGTTAAGTACTGTTGTTTTATCTGGACCCAAGAACTGATCTTAAAGCCTTTGGCTTTTTGGCCAAAATTTGGGTCTGATGAGGACTGGGTCTGTCAACTATTAATTGAGCATGTAAACAACAAGAGTCCAGTCACTCAAGAGGAGATAGAATAGGCCCTCTGTCCTGTTTCCACTTAAAGAAAAGGAAGAAAGACAAAAAGAAAAAAGCCCTCAAACCCCTTGTAACTGGGATTTACTTTTGCCACTCCCCCACAATCCTGTTGTTCCTCTGGCTCACGCGCCACAGTTGGCCCCCACGCTGCCATACAAGACTTCTGCCACTCTACTTCCCCCTCCTAACCGTTCCACTGCTATCCCCCCTTCCCGAAACCCCTCCCTACTGCAATTTCAAAGGTAGTTAGAACAAGGTCATCAAGACATTGAGAATCTACCTCTTCCTCAGTCTGAAGAAGAAAAACCCCATTCCCTCTTTCCTCTTAGGAGGTTCCCCTCAGAGAAGGTGAAATTGGGTTTGTAAATGACCCTCTTACCAGATCTGAGGTCTGAAATCTTAAAAAGGCATTGTGACCCCCTTCTTGAGGATCCCTTTGGGGTCTCAGAACAGGTTGATCAATTTCTGGGACCACAGATATACACTTGGGCTGAGTTAAGGTCTATTTTGGGAACTCTCTTCCCAGGGGAGGAAAGAGACATGGTCCATAGAGTGTCAATGGCTATCTGGGAGTGTGAACATCCCTGGAACAAAGTGTCCTGGCAGCTGATGTTAAGTCTCCTAATCAAGATCCCCATGGGATAACAACACCCCAGGGCAATGAGAAAATATAAGACTTGAGAGATTTAATGATGAGGGGATAATCGGTGGGGGAGGGGAAGAGGTGATTAATACAACCATTAGCTTTAGAAATTTCCTGGGAAGATGGTGAGTTCATATTTCAAAGAATAAGTTACAATTTGCTGAGACTGAAGAAAGCCATCTGGGATGTTAGATCAGTAAGGGCCAATGAAGGATTGGTTCAGAAAGAATACAAGAAATCACTGGTCTCCCGCTCCCAGGAACAAAACAAGAATTGATAAAGTTCCTTGGATACTTAGTGGATACTGCCAGTTGTGGATAGACTCATATGCCCTTAAAACTAAATCTTTATATCTCAAATTGAACCAAGAGGGACCAGACCCCCTTCTTTGGATCCCTGAGGAAGTAAAAACAAGCCCTTATCACAGCCCCAATGCTAGCTTTGCTCTCTCTTGAACAGCCTTTTCACCTCTTTGTAAACAAGGGAGTTGCCCCTGGGTGCTAACCCAAAAACATGGGGGTCAACATCAACCTGTGGCCTTCTTATCTAAATTCCTAGAACCTGTCACCCGAGGTTGGTCTGAGTGCATTCAGGCAGTAGCAGCTATAGCCCTTAACTGAAGAAAGCAGAAAAATCACCTTTGGGGGAAGTCTAGTTATCAGCACTTCCCATCAAGTTGGAACAATCTTAAACCAAAAGGGGGGTAGATGGATGACAGATTCCAGGGTCCTAAAGTAGGAGGCTATCTTGCTAGAAAAGTATGACCTGACTTTAACTACTGATGGAACCCTAAATCCAGCCACTTTCTTGGAAGGGGAAGCAGAAAGGAGGAGCCCCGCACATAAATGTGTAGATATTATTGAATACCAAAAGAAAGTAAGGCCAGACCTCAGGAACTCCTTTCCAGAATGGGTTTCATTTCTTTGTGGGTGATCTTC